TATATGGTTGGTCATTGCCGAAAAGAAACTACAGTTGAGCATTCATTATCACTTTGATATTTTCAATGAGGCAATAGACTTTGTATTGTTGAAGTTAAGGACTCGGTTTAATGATACCTTTTAAAGACAACACTCCGCGACAAAATGGATGCTGACTTTTTTGTTAACTGCAATACACTTTATATTGAAAAAGGTCATACTCTTAGTATAGATGTAGACTCTATAATTGACGAGTTTTTTTGTTTCAAAGCTTCGTCAAGAACAAATTTAGTGGAGAACTCTTATAATTTTTTTTTTTTTGCTTATTTTGAAATTTTTTAATGTATTATCAATTAAGTTTTTCAGCCCAGTCCAACATGAAATCCTGGATCCGCCCCTGTTAATAACTATATATATGAAGGTGACAAGTTGGTTGGCAAGTTGTTGGTCGTGTGGACTGTCTAGTGGAGTATTTGTCTTCGATTCCCAGCGAAGGGTAGTATAGTATTGTAACACTTGAGATTTAATATAAATGGATTAATAGTACTACTCATACCAACAAGATGCATCTCCTTTTAAGGGAGCTCATCCGCTAAGAACTCCAAAGTTAAGCGTGCTTGCACGGGAGTAGTCTTGGGATGGGTGACCCCCTGGGAAGTTTCTCGGGGCGCGCACGAGTGAGGACAAAGTGCGCGGTAAAGACTCGTGGTGGTTTGTGAGGTCAGTACTATTGGTCCAGAGTAACTACCTCGGATCCTACAGGGCCGGGGTGTTACAGATGCATAAAATTAAATTACTATCCCAATGAAGTACTCTTAATTACAAATTACAAATTAAAATTAGTTTACACACCTAGGAAATCATACAATAAGAAAATGAAGCATGCACATGCTGACATGCAACGATGTGGCTTTTTACATTCTAATGGAAAAATCTAGAATTTTCGCTCCTATAAATCACGGCCTGTTTGGATTGAGTGTTGATGAGTGTTAGTAATGGAAGTGTTAGTAAGTGTTGATGCTAACACTTGTTTGGGAGAAAAATCCAGAGGTGTTAAGAAGTGTTAGTAATGATTAGGAAGTGTTAATAATAACCTTCCCAACACCTCAATTGTCCATTTTTTAACACCCCGATTTGGAGTGTTTTGAAGTGTTGGACAATTATTACCCTTCTCATTTACCCGAAAAACATAAAATGCTTCGACATTTCACTTCGAATGTCTTTCCCACGGGTCTGATGGTTTGTTTTTTGATCTCTTCTCTTTACTCGTTTCTTTTGCCTCAAGGTAAAATTATTAACACTTCCATTATTAACACTTCATTCATTTGACTCTCCCAAACAAGGTAAAATTATGACTAACACTTACACTTCCCTTCCCTTCCGAGCCCTTACTAACACTTACTAACACTTCCATTACTAACACTTCCAAACACTCCATCCAAACAGGCCCTTAGGGACCATTGGGGATGAATTTCAACACACATGACGGTAAACTCATATCCGAACATCTAATATCTGCACTGACTTTCAAATATACACACCAAACTCTCAAGTAAAATCATCGTGCTCAACAATTTGCGTCTGCTTTCATCAAGTAATCTAAAAAACCATTGCCCCTGCAAAATGAACAAATATTCATATGAGGCATCAGGTAAAAGCCATTGTTACTTTAAGATGAAAAACATTGTATCCTTGCACATTTATTGAAATCATTTCTTTGATCATTCATGTGTTGCTTATCTCAAGATGTCTGCCAAGAAAAAGCAGAGATTAACACGTCAAAAGTTTAGCAGGTCACAGAGTGTATGTGTATGCTGAAAATGCAATGCTCTGTGGTTTTCAAATTTCAACTTTGGATTTTGTTTTTTGGTGTTCAGTTGACTGGTCATAGTTAGAAGATGTGATCTAATATAAAAGAGATTAGCGTTGAAGCCCTACATGGAAGATGACAGTGGACTCATCAGCCTTTATTTGACAGTAGAACATGAACGACATCCAAATACCCTTTTATTACCAAGATATATGTTTAAGTATTACAGTCGTTGTATAGTCAACTTCTAACCTATTCATGAAGGTATGAAAGGCCACATTAAAAATTGCAGTGCTCCATGAGGTTCACGAAACATCTATTCATCGTATAAACTAAAATTTACATTAATGATAAGTATTTCTACGTATTATTCAATAAAATTGTTCAAATTATAGATAGATCTTGATTTGAATATTTCAAGTACTTAAAAATAAGCTCATAGGTTTAACTTCAAATAAGATCTGAAAAAATGAATTCTTCTTGAAGGGAATTCTTATAATTTGGGGGAACGTTTATGGTGTTACATGTCAAAGTTGTTGAAAATATAAGGCTCATTTATCAAGCATTCTAAAGATGTTACAGATTTATCTATTGACATAGAAGCATGATGATATTCAATAAAACTACATTATAAAACTAAAAAATATATAAACAACCATTAGGGTATATTGCAAACAACTATGGTATGATTTGCCCAATCTTCTTGAAGGAAACCTAGAATGGTGATGATATGTTTTAATTTTATGTATTTATTTATATACTGCATATGACCAATTATTTGTTTTTAATTTATGCAGGGATTTAGATTCAGTGAAAAGGCTAAGCATCTTCTTTTGAAGTGGGGGTCATCCATATACCTGCAATTACTTAATCAAATATGCGTTGTCAACACTCATCTTAAGATGATAAAATATTAACTAATCTGTTAGAAAATTGTCATTTGAAGGCATGAGGCATCAAAGTTTGGCTCAAACAAATTTTCATGTTCATGTAAGTAGTTGATTTTCAAGTCTAAAATGCAAGTCGATTTAGATAAAGTACTTCTCTTTTACATGTTTGATAAAAAAGAGTACCATATGTGAATGTTTGTGTTGGAAACTGAAGTCTTAAACAGAATACAATGCCCGTGAATAGGCAACGAGCCGTTTGTTAAGGGTATTGTAAAAATGTCTATATTAACAAATCATAACTGATCAAAAATTGATTTTAGTTGTGATTGTGTGTCCAAGGCTGACAAGGCTGGCTTTAGCAGATTAGTCCATATGAAAACAGTGTTTAGACTCTGTCAATACTGTTTTTCTCTGCATCCGTGCACCGTCAATAAAATACACGCTGCATATTTTTACATATCAATTTAGTAAAAAGTATTATAAATAATGTTTTACTTTTAATTTTATCCCTGAATAATTATGAAATAAAAAAATACACATTTCGATGTAAAAACAAGTACTCTCTCCGTCCCGGAAAATTGTTCCCGCATTGACTTGGAACGGAGTTTAAGAAAGTGGGAATAAAGTGGAAATGTATGGTTGTGGTTGAGTAAGAAAAAGGTAAATGAATTGTAGCCACAAAAAACTTTCCAAAAGGGGAAAGGGGAACAATTTTTTGGGACGGCCCAAAAAGGAAACAGGGAACAATTTTCAAGGACGGAGGGAGTAATTTTTATTAATTTTTTTAACGTTTTTCGGTTAACAAAATGAATTAGTTTAAGTAAAGTTTGATTATGAAATATTAAATTATTTGTGAAGGCTTCATGAATTAAAATTTTGTGTTTTTTTAGCTCAAGAAAACTGCAACAGTTAAAACTTCAAAAAAAATCATTTTATATATCACATATGGATGTTATAAGAAAGATCATAAAAATTCATGAATTTTGATATATATTTTGAAAATTTTGGAGAACAAATAAAAAAAGTTATAAGAGTTTAAAACAATTTGGGATTATGATGACATCTGCGTGAGGTCATTATGATGTCAGCTGAACCATAGCCACTTTCTTTTCTTTTCTTTTTCAATTTCTTTTACCCTATCAATCCAACCCTTCCCACACCCTTTCCCACTTTTACTCCCCTTTTAATCAACCACTACACCTAATTAGGAGTCTAAAAGTTCCATTTTTAATCTTTTGACTCATAATCCTTGACCACTACAAATGGTCTGACCACATATCCATAGAACAAACCGGCAGACCAAGTCACCAGATTGATGTCATAGTCTGATTCTTTTTTCTGAATCTTGTGAGCCATATATGTAACAAATGTGCCAATAACTTAACATAACGTTTACTTTTTCCTTTGCATAATACTACCTCCATAACCTTGGGATGTTCCCATTTGAAAGTAGGTAAATTAAGAATAGTCAAAAGAGATATGTAGGCCGAGATATGTATTATTGGGGGTATGATGGGAAGATGGTGAAATAATGTGATGGAATGAAGGATAAATCCAAAAAAAATATGTGTAATATTGTATTATTTTTAAAGTTATTGAGGATATGATGGGAAGATTTAGAAATGAGAATATATTAATGTTACATCCAAAAAAGGAAAGTGGGAAGATATTTACGTTATGGATGTAGTAGCATTTTTCATTTGATAAGTTGTGGATCAAGTCAACATACTTTAACTTAACGTAACTATTTACTTATTCCTTAGCATAATAGCATTTTTCATTTGATAAGTTTTGTACACACATATAATGCACAGGGTATATGTGTTGGATCAAATATAATAGTATGTTATAAATCTTGTGGATTAAACTTGGGATTTAATTGCTCAAAAATAGCAAACAATGCACTACATTTTATCAGCAACACGGTGAAAATTTAGTACACAAATCAAAGTGTCCTGTCATTGCAAAAAAGTGCAAAACTAATACGGATTACATGTGCACTCGTTGTCACTATTCATGGGAGCAACTTTTTTTTATTGGAAATGCACTCTATATATCAAATGATTACTTTTCATTCGTTTTTTCCTTTATTCTAATAAAAATTTTGTTTTGTAAAAAAATTATACTAGTATATATGAGCACCACTTCAAATTATTCTCTTGTTCCGCCACAGCCGCCCACAGCTAAGAACCTAAATTTAAACGCCACATACAAGAATCACCACTAGGAAATCGATCTTTTGAGGCGCATGTGTAACGGCGCATTTACGAAAAGTGTCTGTTCCTTCTTTTTTGAACGAAAAATTGTCTGTTCCTTGTGTGTTTTTTTCCGATCAGAAGCACTTGTACTAAAAGCGCTCCTACTCTTCACGGGCACAGGGCACTTATATCTGGCCGATGCTAAAAATATCCCGACAAACCTAACTTAAAACTAGCTAAGTACTCTTAACGAGACTACCTTCGTCCCAAATAGATCGACGCTAACCTCTGGCCGCTCGCTTCTCCTCCCATGTTCGAGTCGATGCAACGCCGCCGGCTCACTGCCCTCCGTTGCTCCGTGCCTCTGTCGCGGATTCATAGCGATGCAGTTCCCAGGATTTCCATCGGCACCGGCACAACGCCTCCAGGCTCACAGTTTCATGGCGGCACCGGCACAACGCCTCCAACCCTTCACGGTACAGCTCCATGCCACCTCTCCTAGGATAAGCCTCAGCTCTTCATTCACAAACCACAACCTGAATTTTGTAAACCTAATCTGAAATTCATAGAGGTATTCACCAATTCCAATTTTCACCATTTTCCTTTCGCTTATACCTGAAATTACTTCTCCCCCAAACTGAATGTTGAATGTTAGATCCCAATTCCTAAATTGAAATTATAATTTTTCCTTATTTTGAAGTCAGACTTGTATATTGTAATCCTAAATGTGATGATGTCATTGTCAAAGGTATGAACTAACTAATCTTGTATATTGTATACTTGTATACTGAGTCGTTTTAAGTATCAGTACTAACTAATTTATTCTCTTTATTGCAGACTTGATGGGATCTATCAAGAACAAATCGATCATCTTATCAAAGGTTATGCCAATCTCGTTGACCTCATCCAACCCATGAAGTCTTTCAACTGGTATTTTCAATCTCTTTTTGTTTCCACTGTTTCGTTTTTAGAACTTCACTTTTGTTCATTAGGCATATGAATGGAGAAGAATTCGTTTATTTTCTGATTTTCCTTTTATATTTTCGTTTTGTGAAGTTGAGTCTTTGACATTGATGGAGTATATGGCCCGGGAACCCCCGGCCCGCAGACTCCTACTAATCTATCACAAGCCCAACAAGCCCAAGGAGCTCAGGAGGCCCAAGATTCGGCGGCCCAAGCATCAAGGAGCCCACAATACACACAGGGATGCCTTCGGCCTCCTTGGCCGAAGGCTCCAAAACTCACAGAACCGCCATATTTGACCATGCGAAGCTACTGGGAGAAAATGACAGGAGACAGGAGCCTTCGGCACTATGGAGCCCTCGGCACCAGGGGAAGCCCTCGGCTGAACCAAGCCTTCGGCTACACAGGGAGCCTTCGGCCATACGTGAAGCCTTCGGCCATACATGAAGCCCTCGGCCATACATGAAGCCTTCGGCCACACAGTGCCTTCGTCCACACAAAGCCCTCGGCTACGCGAGGAGCCTTCGGCTGAACAGACTCAATCATCGAAGATTCCCTTTGGAGACAGCCAACCACCGCATTTAATACCACGTCACATCCGCCAACCGCATTCAATGCGGTTGACGTACCGCTGCCGGTGCCACCAGACTGATGTGACCCTTCGGCCGTTGGATTACTGACACGTGTCCTCTCACCGCATTTATTGCTGCTATAAATAGCAGCCCATTCCTCCTTGTAAATCATCATCTACATCTCAACTCCACACGCTGAGTTCATTTAATAAAATCGACTCTCTCTCCTCCTATTTGCTCTAGCTTCTCTCTAAGTTATTCCCGCAATAACCCCTCGGATAAGATACCCCCCGGGTAGACTATCCATCATTTGGTGCTCTCGTTGAGAGGTCTGAACAATCAAGTGAGAAACCCTCCCCCTCTTACCAAACTCAAACCTACCTACGAAAATGGGAAGAACAACCCGTGCCCAATCTAAAAACCTCGAGGAGAACCAAACAGCCCCCGGCGACGGTGCCGAGACCTCCAACAGGCTCTTGGTACCCGAGGGCGGAACTATCCTCGAATTAGAGCAGGCCGCTAATGACCTCCGTCAGCAATTGCAGAAGAATGCCCCTGATGCCCGCATTGGCCTTGATAATCGAAGGAGGGATCGGAGTGAGAACCAAGTTCCCCCTCCGGCCCCGGTCATCGATCTTCAGGCTGCCTTTGCGGCCTTTGTTCAAAACATGGCTCTCAATTCTGGAGCCCTCGCCTCTCAGGCACCCCTCCAGCCCTACGCTGGAGGGAATGTTATTCAATTACCACCGCTCCCTCCTCTGTTCAACAATCCTCCCCCGGGGATTGGAAACGCCGAAGGAGTCATGGCACAGGATACCGCCTCCCAGGAGGCCCAATCCAGGGATAAACGTCCCTTGATGAAGGAGAAACCCCGGACCTCTGCACTTGAGAGGCTTGGGGGAGCTCCCGTACGCCGAGGGGTCCAAGACCGCCTCGGCAAACAGGAATTCAGCAGGCCTCAGGAGAGTGGAGCCTCCGCTTCGGGAGCCGAGGGCATACCTCCGCCCCGGAGCAAGGGCAAAGCCCCCCTGCATGCCGATGACGCCAGGCACCAAATCAATCAGGCGCAATCCTTCCGGGCCAACTCCCAAGGGGTTGCCCCGAAGGATCCTAAGGACGAAATCATCGAAGCCCTCCTCCGTCAACTTGAGGAGAATCGTCAGGCTCCCCCGACGGCTTCCACAGCAAGGCCAGACCCAGAGTACGCTGACCTCCGGGCGCAAGTGGAGGAAATGAAACGTAAGCTTGCCGAAGGCTCAGGCGAGCCCCTCATTCAGCTCCGCGCTAAGACGCCTTTCACCCCAAGGGTGCTGGCGGCCAAAATCCCCCACAAATATCGGGGGCAACCTATCAAGCCGTATGAGGGGAAGACGGATCCCCAAGAACACTATAGCCGCTATCAAAATAGCATGATGATGATGGGGGCCTCGGATGAATACTTATGCCGTTGGTTCCTTTCCACCTTGGAGGGACCAGCGTATGAGTGGTTCAACCGGTTGCCCGAAGGCAGCATTGATTCTTGGCAAGAACTTGCCCACCGCTTCCTTACGCAGTTTGCCGGGAGGCACCGCTCGAAGAAACACTTCTCCCACCTTCTGAATGTGAGGCAACAGAAGGAGGAAACCCTTCGGAGTTTCCTGGAACGCTGGAGGCAAGCTTCCCTTGAGGTCGAGGGCGCCGATGACAGGACGCTGATGGCCCTCTTCCACACCGTACTCCGCAACGGTAACTTCTCCAGGAGTCTCATCACTGATCCCCCCCGCGATTATACCAAGGCCCTTCAGCGGGGGGACCGATATGCCGAAGCGGAGGAAATCGAGAGGGACCGCCGCAACACGGATCCTTCTCAGAAGAATGAAGGCAGGAATCGGCCCGGAGGGCCTCCCCCTCCGACCAACCGAGAGCCACAGTACAACGATCGCTCCCGAGGTGGCCAAGCCAGATCCGGGGGCGGTTACAAAAACAACCCGAAGGCATGGGCGCAACCCGTCCTCCTTGAGCACCCACGCACTCCCTTGACGCATCCCGTCAGCGTCATCCTTGATCATGCAGAAGAGCGGGGGCTCGTTGAGCGAGACTCCCGTACACCCCTCGAGATTTATGCCATCGGTCCTGATGAGCCCTACTGCCGCTTCCACCGCCACCATGGACACAAAACCGACGACTGCCATCAGCTGAAGAACGCCATCGAGAGGCTGATACAGGCGGGCCACTTGTCTCAATTTATCAGGGGCCCTCCTCCCCAGGGCCCCCTTCACCATCAAGGGCCACCGCCGAAGGCAAACAAGTGGGTGAACCCCAACACCATCCCCTTGGGGAACCCACAGGGAAAGAAGCGAGAAATTGGGGGCCTCGAAGATGAGGGAGAAGGCTCCCATCAACAATACAAGCGCCACGTCCACATGATTAATGGTGGCAACACTGGTGGAGACTCCACCAGCCAGCGAAAGAAGTGGGCTCAATCCCTTTACGTTGGGGAAGTCAATCACATGCCCCCAACTAAAAGGCCGAGGGCGGATCCAATCTTCTTCACAGATGCGGACCTCCCCTCGGGTTCCCTGCCGCATAGGGATGCCCTCGTCATCCGCACGGAGATCAACGACGCCATCATCCACCGGACTTACGTCGACACGGGGAGTTCTGTCAACGTCATGTATCTCAGCACTTTCCAAGAGTTGGGACTCGATAGGGGGTCCCTTCGGCACATCAACACCCCCCTCTCCGGATTTACGGGGGATAGCATAGACGCCGAGGGCGTCATCACGCTCATGGTCGAATTCGGCGACGGATCCCATAGAGCCAAGCTCGAAGTGGAGTTCGTCGTCGTCAACCTCGACTGCGCGCATAACATCATCCTCGGCCGGCCTGCCCTCGAGGACTTGAAGGCTGTCATCTCCATGAGGCACCTCTGCCTCAAGTTCCCCACGCCTACCGGCACCGGTTACTCGAGGGGGAATCAGAAGCTCTCCAGGGCCTGCTACCTTCAACTCACCAAGAAGGTTAGTAAAACCGAGTTTCGCGTTGACACCATCACCGCTAAGGCCTTGGAGGAGGAAGAAAGTAGGCCGAGGGCTGAGCCTGCCGAGGAGACTGAAGACCTGATACTCAATCCGGCCAAGCCGGAGAGAGTCCTGAAGATCGGAGCCAAGCTCCCCGAAGACTTGAAGGCTGGCATCACCAAAGCCCTCCGCGCCTACTCCATTGTTTTTGCATGGGGGCCGGAGGACATGCCAGGAATTAACCGAAGGGTTATCACCCACCGCCTAGCGGTGGACCCTTCGGCCAAATCAGTGCAACAGCGAAGAAGACCCCTCTCGGCCGAGAGGAGGGAGTTCGTAAAGAAAGAGGTGTCTATGCTCCTCTCCATCAAACACATTAAGGAGGTGAAATACCCCTCTTGGTTAGCGAACGTAGTCCTCGCACAAAAGCCTCCTACGTTCCGCATGTGCGTGGATTACACGGATCTGAATAAGGCATGCCCTATGGACCCTTTCCCTCTGCCAAACATTGATCAACTAGTGGATGAGACCGCGGGATGCGAGATCATGTCATTCCTCGACGCGTTCCGCGGGTATCATCAAATCTACATGCATGAGGAAGACGCTGAAAAAACTGCCTTCATGACACCCGAAGGCATCTTCTGCTATCTTGTGATGGCCTTCGGTCTAAAAAATTCAGGCGCCACCTACACACGCATGGTGGCGAGGGTTTTTCAAGCTGTCCTAGGACGCACCATGGAGGCCTACGTTGACGACATGATCGTCAAAAGCAAGAAGGCAGGCACCCACGCCGACGACCTCCGGGAGATTTTTGCCATCATGCAAAAATTCAACCTCTGGTTGAATCCAAAGAAATGCACCTTCGGCGTACAAGGTGGAAAATTCTTGGGCTACATGGTAAGCCGAAGGGGCATTGAGGCCAACCCCGAGAAGATTCAGGCCATCATCAACATGGAGCCTCCACGCAACGTCAAAGAAGTTCAACGGCTGACGGGTCGCCTGGCGGCCCTCAACCGATTCCTCTCTAAGTCAGCCGAGAGGGCCCTCCCCTTCTTCCAAATCATGAGGAAGACGACGGGTTTTCAATGGACATCTGAATGTCAAAAGGCCTTCGATGAACTCAAGAGGTACCTCTCCTCTCCCCCAGTGCTCTCCAAACCGAAGGTGGGGGAGACTTTATACTTATATCTCGGTGTTAGCCCTGCGGCTATCAGCTCAGTACTAATCCGAGAGGAAGACGGCATCCAACATGCCATCTTCTACGTCAGCAAAACCCTCCGGGAGGCCGAACTCAGGTATTCTCCCGTCGAGAAGACGGTGCTAGCCATCGTTTGGACCGTCAAGAAGCTTGGCCACTACTTTCAAGCTCATCCAGTCCAAGTGCTCACTCATCAAC